ACTTTCTTTGAACGAAAATAATTTACATAAAAATTATATTGGTTAAAAAAAACGTTTAAAGACCTACTGGTATTGGTAATTGAAACATGACCTCCAAGCACTGGGATTATTTTAAACACATAACCACACATGACTGCCAATCTAATTTAAGGGTAAGCTCACATTCATTTTTGTGAAAACATCTTCCTTAATCAAAGCTGTTAACTGTTTTAGATACATCCAAGGAACGCATTAGAGGTGGAGAAAGTGCGCACAAAATTGTTAATTTGTTATCATAAGGAACAAAATACAATTTCACAATGTTTTTTTTATTATTATTGTCAGCTTTACTATAATTTATTCGGTTGATGTAAATATGTTCATAGTTACATTAATATATTTATAGCCTGTAACTTGTACTGTAAGAGGGTTGCTTTGATATAACCCACTTTGCAGGCAAACACGTCATGCGCAGCTGCCTCTATCTTATCTTCCTTCGGTCTTTAGTCTGACCTCTCCTCGGTTTTTGACGGATGTTTTCAGAGTCCAACATGTCTCCGGTGAGGTTGCTCGTATCTTGTCTGCTTTTCCATGAGACCCTCGCACTGCCAGGTAAGAATAAGCAACAATACGTCTTCTATACATTTTAATTTTGCGCTCATATACGCGATCATGCGCGGACGACTTACTGTGCGTAATTACGCATCGGTTTTCCACAGGGAGTTTTTGGCATATCACGGATTTGCACTGGGATCCAACCTACAGTCTGACGGACAACCCGGAGCAGGTGTGCGCGTCCAGTGGCAAACGACCCGCGTTACGTGCTGGTAAATTTGGGGACTACGTTTGTGACTCGCCATGGCAACTCATCAACTCCTCTGTTTACGCTATGAAGCGCATCCTACCGAATCCAGACTTCATTGTATGGACAGGGTGTGTATCTGTCTGTCTTCTAATAATGGTTCAGAGATTTGTCCAGTTTTGATTGGACTTAAGTCCATATAGACAGGGACACACAAAGCTGTATTTTTTATACAAAACATATGAAATTTACTGGATTTTTTTTTCAGTGAGAATTGTTTCCTTCCCAGAGTCATGGGTATAATCGTGTTCCTTTTTCTGTCTGGTTCTGTTTAATTTCACAGGGACGACACACCACATGTACCTAATGAGGATCTAGGAGAGGAGGCTGTGGTCAGCATTATCGGCAACCTTACAAATATCATAACTGAAGCGTTTCCAAGTAAGAGTGAAATCTGTGGTGTTTTGACATTGATCAACCGATTGATGCTGAAAATGATTTGTATTTGATTTGTCTTCTTCAGATACTAAGGTGTACTCGGCCCTGGGTAACCACGATTACCATCCCAAGAGCCAGCTTCCTCCAGGCCCGAACTCCATCTATGACAGAACAGCAGAAATGTGGCATAGCTGGTTGGATTCAGGCTCCAAAGAAACATTTAAAAAAGGTGAACAGACCATCGGACACTCGCTTGTCAAAACAGTCAACTAGCTCATGATTTATAAAGATTTAACTTAAAGGGATCCCCGATTAGTTGTAACATTAGACTTTATTTAATAAACATGTATTTTAACTGTAAAATAAAGACTGTAAAATACCGTAGGCTGTTTAGTTTTGTAAATTTTTTAAAATAATTTTTAACATGGACAGAGC